TTACGTGATAAATATAACATCATGTGTTCATCGAGGCATATCGTTCTCGATCTTTGACGTAACGCACACCTCTCTGACAAATCGGTCCTGCCACGATTTTTCCGTGGAATATTTTACGAGTGCATCTCACGCGATGTTGAATTCGAAGGTTCAGCCTGATTCCGAGATACATACGTCATTTCTTTTATTTCATTTGTGCTCTCTACGATCTTGATATGATATATATTGATATGTATATATCAACGCCCACACACTGATGCAGGAACTGATTACACTTGTGCACGTGTGAAAACATATCTATCGTCGCAGATATATATTTATCATAAACGATGGACGACTTGCCTAATGTTGAAAGTGTCTTCAATTGCGACTTTCGCGTCACCGATGCGGGTCGATAACGCAATGGCCGTGAAATCAGTCGGATATACGCACTCACATGTTTGAAATTGTACTATTTTATCAATTTATGTCTCACAGAATAGTATAATTTTGTTTTGAAAATAGTTGCGACCAATTTAATTCTACCGAAAATCCATGCTCGGATTGGATCGAATTGAATTTTCTTAGAAATAGAAATAAAAAACTCTTAGAAATCAAACAATCAGATTGTTATATGTTATCATATATTTGCGATAAACCTTCTGTGATAAGAGTTTAAAGATGAGCAGATGGAAAAGATAAAACCTGAAAATTCGCTGAGAATATCCACGGTAAGATCGGAAATAAACTTAAAACTTTATTCTATAAAATTTTTCTGTCAGAATTAATTATTATGGTAATACTATACATGGAGAAAAAAAGAAAATTTAGTCGTATAATTACTGTTTCAAAAATTACTTTAATAAAAGCATTTTTTACTGTATATACGTAAATTGTATGACATTAATACAATTTAGTAAGTTTAACGAGAAAAAAAGACTGGTATATTAAAATTAAAATAAATAAAATTGTCTATTAATAAGGAATAAATGTAGGTATACGGCAACAGTCGGTGCTAATCGATCTTTAAATATATATATATATATATATATGAAAAATTGATGATATAAAGTAATGAAAAAAATCGCCATTATGTTACTTGCATTATTTAATTTAGATTAAATTTAGCAAAATCCGTAAAAAGAGATTTTTTTTTATCAAAACAAGGATCTCCTTGCAAAATTGCATGTTAATAATTAAAAGAATGTTAACTAGTTAAAAAATTAAATATTTTCACGATTAAATGAAACGTTCAATAGAATTATAAAAGAATTTTAAAAGAGAAACAATTAACAAAAAAACATACTTGTCGATGAAAAAATATATTATTAGACCGAAATAATTATGATTTGCGTTTTATGTATGATCGCGTGATGTCGATGAGGCGATAATTAAGTAATTTCAGAAACGTGTTTACCAACGTGACAACCAACACGGTCAGCGAACGAAGTCGTTGAGTTGTCGAATAATAACGCCGACGTGTGGGCGTTCACGCACGTTATCTCGTAATCGTCAATCAGGAATACCAGATGACGTTTGAAGAGTCCCGCCGCCGTAAAGTAGCGTAGAAGAGATATTTTTTCGCGCATAATTGCGTTCGTAAAAAATGGGAGAAAAACGGACGAAACCGACGAGTGTGACGCGTCGCGCGCAGTCGCTGATAAATTCTGCATTGTTAAATAAATATTGCCGTTGCTGCTTCCGGCCGGTAGTTTAGTGACACGCTAAATTACTTTCAGGCCCGTCACGGCACGCGCGTACATTGTCACTCGCATCCGACAAAACACATTGCGCATAATAAACGTGCCAAGTCCGGGAGGAGGGTAATCATTGACGGATTTCGACGCCACGTTGCTGACCAAATGATCCTTAGTAGATAAAACTATACGAATAGATCGATCGTATCAGCGAAGAGATAGAACTCTCTCTCTCTCTCTCTCTCTCTCTCTCTCTCTCTCTCTCTCTCTCTCTCTCTCTCTCTCTCTCTCTCTCTCTCTCTCTCTCTCTCTCTCTCTCTCTCTCTCTCTCTCTCTCTCTCTCTCTCTCTCTCTCTCTCTCTCTCTCTCTCTCTCTCTCTCTCTCTCTCTCCTCCTCCTCCTCCCCCCTCCCTCTCTCTCTCTCCCTCAAGTCGCTCTCTTCAAATGCTCGACAAGAGTAAATGCTAACAAGAGTAATTGACAAAAATCAATCAATCGATCATAAACAACAATACTCGTCGACTTGGAATTATCGTCATCCCGTGTATATACAATGCATGCGGGTAATAAATCTACGGCACGCCACGCAACGCGCGACGGCTGTCAGCGAACGGGTGCTGACATACAATTATTTAAATCACCTCGTAATGCGTGGTCTCGTCACCTTCATCAACGACGACACGAATAAGTCTATGCGGTAGACCGCAGCATCGTAAATCTTGCTCTCTTTTCAACTATGATTTTTCGCACGCACTTCGCGCCACACTGATTTACCTCTTATGTACATATTATGTATTTGTACTTTGCGTACTTTAATCCGAAATGAATGAGAACGCCATTCTCCCATTCGTTCACACCTTGCATACATTCGCGTGTTATCATCTCAGGTAACGCGCGATATTCATTCCGCCAAATATCCTGGAACTATTCCGAACGATTCAACCATGATCCAGGTCATTGCGGACGTCCGTAACATAATTGTCGCGATCGTCAGATAACCCAGATCGGCCGCCACGAATGGAATTCAGTTATATCATTCTCGAACAATCGCGAAAAAGAGAAATTTGGCGCTCAGTTTAAGGAAAATGACGTACTTTTTATGGCAAGGGGTGATTCGGTCCGATTGCCGCCTTTTAATTTCGATTTTTTTTTTACATTTTCTTGCAACAAAAAAATGTACACTTTTCTTTTTTGTACTTTAATTTAATCAACAATGCACATTTTTCCGCACGATCAGGTACAAGTGGCGATAGCTTAACCAAATATACAAGCGATAATATATAAGCTGATTGCAAAGAGAAAAAGAAATAATAAAAGAAATAAAAAGAAATAATAAAATAATAAAGAAAAAGAAATAATAATAGAAATAATAATAAAAATAATAAAAAATGTGTGTTTTTGGAAAATGTTGCAACTAAAAAATTCCTGCAAGAATTGATTATTAAAATACAACACGTTGTTACCAAAAATAGCTGTAAAGAATCATTTCTTTGGAGAAACAATAATAAGATTCGAATAACGTAGATTAACGTATAGAATTATTAAAAGTGTGTAACTTGCTGTAATATAATCTCACATTATATTCTGATTACTTTCCTAATAATCACGATTCGGAATTTTGTTTACAGCGATATATTTTGTTAATTTTTTTTGAAAATATTCTTTCGATACTATTGTTTTCCTTCAATCGTTGTATATCTCAATAAGCTTTGTTCTTGTTTACTTACATTTAGATTTACTGGCTATTCGAAATATGATTTGCCGATCGTGTTTGGGGATGTGTGGTTTATTTCTAGTATATAATCAACGTTCTAGAAACCAGAATCTATTCCCAGGCTATCTCTCGAGGAAGCAAAGGAGGGAGAGAGGGAGAGAGAGAGAGAGAGAGAGAGAGAAT